TTACAGGGCAGAAATTTGCATCACCTGACAGGTGAAAAAATATGTGATGAAATAGTTTAAACAGTGAAATGGCGCCCATCTGCGATGAATAAATAAAGAGATAAAGGAAATGGTTGGGTATACCGAAAGATGTGGAAAAAGAACTTATGTAAGTTCAGGATTTTCCTTTAATAAATGTCCAAAATTAAAAAGTGTTTTTTTTTCCACAAAGGAGTAAAGCATGGTATATAGTCGTGATAAAAAAAGTAAAATTTTTGCGATGAAGCAAGATGGACAGTGGTGATAAAAGAAGACGTGGAATTCTTGGGTGGTGACTCTCAGGAAGTATTTTGACCGTGCTTTTTTTTTGGGAAATAAAAGTGAGAGTAGGGTGTTCCCGGGAGTGGTGTTGGGGTCTTTGTCAACAGACTGGATAATATCATGTCAGGTAAGGGAAAAACAACCCATTATCTGTTCAGTGCGGGTGGAAATGATATTGGGAAAAGGGGAGGAGAGAAGAGTGTAGATAAGTACAGGGCAGCTATAGTTTTATTAAATCTAAGGGGGGGTCCCCAAAATATGAGCATCTTGCCCAGAAGGGGGTAGGAAATGAAAGGTTGTCTGGGCAATTTGGTGTAAATTGTGGGTAGACAGATATGCAAGGAACTTGCAATCCCATTTTTGAAACTGGAACAAATTTTATGGCAACATGATATGTATGCAAGGGATGGGTTATTCTCTGGGGGAGGGGGGGAGCACTTGCAGACTCGATTGAGAAGGCCATTGGTGAAATGCCCATGATTTTAAAATGTGGAAAAATTTGAGGTAGGGTGTGTGTGGGAAACAAGAGGGTTCAACATAGGGTTGGAAAAAGTAAATTATAAAAGGCATTCGCATGAAGTTATAAATAAAGACAATAGAAAAGGTAGCAAACAAAGGGGGACAGGAGGGCAGCAAGGGCTGCTCCTTAAAGGTTTACTATACTAAAGCGGGTGTTAGAAATAAAATAGATGGCTAAGTTTTTTTGCAAATCAGAAAAAGATATTATTGCTATAACAGAGACCTGGTCAAACTGAAAGATAGAGAGTGCCCTCTGAATTCACAAACAAGGCTATAAATTATTTTCCCCACTGACAGGGTCAAAAACAGGAAAAGGGGGTGGGTAGCGATGTATGTCGGACATTTAAAATTGTTGTGTTAGAAAAATATTAAATTAGAAAACGTCAGCCACTGAATCTGTTTGGTTACGCTTCCGGGGCCCAGAAAAACTAAATTTTGGGGGTGTGATTTACGGGCCCCAAAAAATTTATAGGGGGTGCGTAAACTTCTATGGACGAAAAATTGTAAGGCTCTACATACGAAAAAGTTGTGCTAATGGGAGATTTCAACTTAGACAGATTTACTGGGCAATTTGACGGAAATTTAGAGTCGGGTGATTTTTTTGATACGATCCCGGATTGTTTTAAAAAAGTTTGTGACAGAGCCAATAGGGGGTATAACCTCCTTGATTGGTTTTGCCAGGGAGGGAAACATAATTAAAAATCTTTGGGGTTTAAAGATGGCTTTGGGGGGTGATCACAAATCACTCGTTTTTAACTATCATGGAATTCCCTAATAAGGCAATCAAGTCTCCGTCCGACTTTCGCTTGGTGATTTATAGGGGCTGAAAAAAAACTTTTGGGGGGTGAACTGGAATGACCGACTAGGGGGGCGGTAGGTGGTGATGGTTGCCGATATGATGCTTTCCAGGGCATAGTTCTAGCTGCTCAGTCAAATTATGTTCCAAATAGGGGAAATCAGATAAAAACAAAAATGATCCTAAATGGATGAACAATAGATTAAAATATCTGATTGGTCAAAAGAGAGGCATATATAGGCAATCAAAGAGGAGGGGGAAATTTAAAGAAATCGATATATTCAGTTAAAGAGAGAAATAAAAAAGGGAATTAGAAAAGCAAAAAGAGTTATGAGGTTAAAGTTGCAAGAGAATCGAAGACTAACCCAAAAGGATTCTTTCAGGTATACAGAAGTAAGATCAGGGACAAGATAGGCCCACTCAAAATTTCCCTCGGGTCAGCTCACTGACAGTGTTTAAGGAATGTGTAGAATTTTTTAACACATACTTCCTCTCAGTTTTTACACAGGGGATACCAGCAAATATTCCAGTAATGATAAATTATGTAGAACAGGACGATAATAAACTGTGCACTTTTAGGGTCACAAGTGACATTGGTCCTTAGGCAAATAGAAAAATTTAAAAACCTAACAAACCCCCAGGCCTGATACTGTATGCAAGGGTTCTAAAGGAATGTAAAGAGGGCTTAGCACCCTTTGGCTAATCTTTTCAAATACACTACAAACTGGCATGGTGCCAGATAAGTGGAAAATGGCAAATGTGATACCTATTTCAAACAGGTGACAGGTCCTTAGCTTCGAACTATAGACCAATAAGCCTAACCTCCATAGTGGGAAAATTTATGGAACCCAATAATTGCCGAGGCAGTTCGTAGCCCCTTTGAAAAGCATAAATTAATCAACAAATCTCAGCATGGTTTTACAAAGGGGCGTTCCTGCCTTACGAATTTATTAACTTTTTTCACTAAGGTTTTTGAGGAGGTGGGATCATGGTAATGAATATGATATTGTGTATATGGACTTCAGTAAGGCTTTTGACAGGGTCCCACATCAGGAATATTGAGGAAAATTAAAGCACAGGGAAATAGGAGGAGAAATTTTTTCCTGGATAGAGGCATGGTTGACAAATAGGCAGCAGAGAGTTTGCATAAATGGGGAGAAATCAGAGGGGGGGAGCGTCACGAGCGGTGTTTCCACAGGGGTCAGTTTTGGGGCCCCCTGCTGTTTCACAATCTACATAAACGACATAGATGAGGGCATAAAGAGCGACATCGGCAAGGTTTGCCGATGACACCAAAATAGGCCGTCGAATTCATTCTGACGAGGACATTCGAGCACTCCAGGAAGATTTGAATGGGACTGATGCAGTGGTGGGAGAAGTGGCAGATGCATTTTTAATATAGACAAATCCCAAAGTCTAAATGTTGGACAGGACAATAACCATGCCACTATAAACTAATAATGTAGATCTTAATATTACGAATTGCGAAAAGATTTAGGAGTTCTGGTTAGCGTAATCTGAAACCAAGACAACAGTGCATAAGTGTTCGCAATAAAGCTAATAGAATCCTTGGCTTCATATCAAGAAGCATAATAATAAAGGAGTCCTCAGGTTGTTCTTCAACTCTATCATCCTTGGTTAGGCCTCATTTTGATTATGCTGCACAAATTTTGGTCACCGTATTACAGAATGGATATAAATTCTCTGGAAAATGTACAAAGGAGGATGACAAAGATGATCCCATGTATCAGAAACCTTCCCTATGAGGATAGACTAAAGGGCCCCGAAACTGCACTCTCTAGAAAGACGTAGAATTAGGGGGGATATGATTGAGGTTTATAAGTGGAAGACAGGAATAAATAAAGGGGGTGTAAATAGTGTGCTGAAAAAAATCTAGCCTAGACAGGACTCGCAGCAATGGTTTTAAGTTGGAAAAATTCAGATTCAGGAGGGATATAGGAAAGTACTGGTTTTGGTAATAGGGTTGTGGATGAGTGGGAAAAAACTCCCCAAGTACCGTTATAGAGGCCCCGAACGTTGTGTAGCTTTAAAAATAGGTTGGATAAATACATGAGTAGATGTGGGTGGGTGTGAGTTAGACCTGATAGCTTGTGCTAACAGGTCGGTTGCCGTGTTCCTCCCTTAAGTCAATGTGACCTGACCTGACTAGGTTGGGTGCATTGGCTTAAGCCGGTAGGGACTTGGACCTGCCTCGCATGGGCCAGTAGGCCTTCTGCAGTGTTCCTTCGTTCTTATGTTCTTATGTTCTTAATAAAAACCTATTTAATTGCTGTCCTAACCACTGCTATCTCCGTATCAAGAAAACTTTCTTCGCTATAAATATATAAAATTTTATTTACAGCCTTTTTAAATAACAACGCTGTTGATAAGATAAGGATAAACATACAAGGCATGCATTCATGTGATCATTATAAGCATACACTGGAGATAAGCTATAACAATTAAACCAAGTATAATCCAACAAAGGCAAAACAGTGACCTAACCTAGCTGCTGATGAGGTTTAATATTGCTTCCTTTCTCATTATCCCCACCATTTACCAGTAACCCAGTTTTATTATTACCTAGACATTACCCAGTATTTAGTTAAATGTCAAGCCAGCCTCGAGTCGCCTAGGAAACAATCCACAGCAACAGAATAACAGTCTACGGCAACAGGACAACAGCGTACAGCAACAGGTCAACAGCCCACAGCAACAGAATAAAAGCCCACAGCATCAGAACAGCAAATAGGATAAGAGTTCACAGCAAAAGGACAACAGTCCACAGAAACCAGATAAATGACAGCAGTAATAGGACAGCCCACAGCAAAAGAACAACAGCCCACAGCGAAATGACAACAGTTCACAGTAAAAGGACAACAGTCCATGGCAACAGAACACTTCACATCAACAGGACAACGTTCCACACTAACAGGACAACACTACATCAACAAGGCAAAAGTGAACATCAACAGGACAATAATCCCCAGCAACATGACAACAGTCCACTGCAACAGGATAACAGTCCACTGCAACAGGATAACAGTCCATTGCAACAAGAAAACAGTCCACTGCAACAGGACAAGTCCACTGCAACAGTACAACAGTCCACTGCAACATCACAACAGTACACACCAATAGAATGGAGAAATACATATTTATTTCATTTTAAAGAACAGTAATTATTTACGTATTATTTATTTTGGTTTAGTTTGCAACATACATAGGAACGCACTAAACCCATAAGGGTCAAACACTTGCTGGAAAATGAGAGGTAATCAGGTTTCATACAAGGGAGTGGCAGCTCCAACTCCTTTAATCAAGAGCCCTTCACCACATCACCCCATTTAAAGGAAAAACAGTAGTGAGAAGCTGTGGTATTTACATTTTCATACTGCAAGGAGAAGGCTGTGATCCACCGGCGTCACCCGCTCTAATATTCTCTGTTGCTGAAGCCTACTGCAGTTGCACTGGTCAACAAAATATATGTATCACGTGCAGTATTTTTACACTTTAGGTTAGGATACTGCCTCGCTGGAAATACAGAGAGAGGGAGTGATGTATTAACACACCATCTAGCTGTATCTTGTCACGATACAAGTGCAAATTTGCTGTTATTTTTCTGCCGTGTCTGAGTTTATTACCACTTGCTATCGTCACTTATAGGCCAAATAATTAACTACGGAAATACATTCAAATTAACCAAGAAGAAAAATAATGCTTCACATAGAGCGCGGGTAGAGAGTGCGACTCACAACAACACACCCTCACAACACCTCAGACACAACTGAACACTGCCAAACAATAATATGTTCCAATAATATAATATCTTCCGATACATCGCTCAACAGTTATTGCCGTTGAGTAATTAAATAACACATATTATTATATAAACTACATTTAATTATTTTTGTTAAAGATTACTTTAAATTTTAGATAAATTATATCTACGTTTATTTTATAAGACTTTACTATCATCAACTTTAAAGATTATTTCTACGTTATTTTAAGTCTTCCGCAGTACAGTAAACACATAACTCAGTATAAACACTCACAATAATGTAAATCTACAAGCACAATTATCTTTAGAGCCATAAAGAATCGTCTTTCGTATATTTAGATTTATTACATAAGATGAGATATGGCAACTGTAAAAGAGTTGCCAGTTACTATCCGGAGAGGCAGCGAGAACAAGCTTTCATTTTCCTTAGCGGAGCTCTCAATGGCACTCCCATCAAGGTGGGTACCTTAATCACGTGAAGGGCTCTTGATATAAGGAATTGGAACTATTCTTCCGAGGAATTTAGAATATATTAGCTACGTCCCTCCCTATGACTGTACCATCGATTCATGTTCATAAATTAACAAGTGGGATTTGATATATTCAACACTGACAATATTGTGTGGTACTATAAATATTGCTCAGGATATATATATATATATATATATATATATATATATATATATATATATATATATATATATATATATATATATATTATATATAGAAAGCCGCTCGTTATTCTGAGCATTTCGGGCCAGTTAGGTTAGAGTCCCAGGATGCGACCCACACCAGTCGACTAATACCCAGGTACCCATTTTACTGATGGGTGAACACAGACAACAGGTGTAAAGAAACACACCCAATATTTCTACCATGGCTGGGAATCGAACCCAGACCCTCGCCGTGTGAAGTGAGAGCTTTAGCCACCAAGTAGTGAACTGAGCGATATGTGCATAAGTTATGTGATTAAATACTTATTAATAAAAGCAAAGAACAAAAACTATAAAGTCGAACGTTAAGATACTTTATATTGTAATGAGTGTCTTGATGCATGTTTACTAAGACTAACAACGTATCTTCGCGAGGATGGTGTATATCCCGGTATACATACACTCTAGAGTTCACTTAATCCTCGTAAGCTCATATTTGGGCTTATAGTGGTTAGGGCTAATTAGGTAAGGTTCGTCAGGAAACAGGACAATGGTTTCCTGACGCGGGTCTTAGATGATGACCCGCCGTTGGAGCTTTTGGCCATCTGACTGAGGCCTTCCACTGGCTTACCGGTCCATCCTTCTATAACCATTTATTATTTATTATGGTGGTTAACAGGTTACATGCAGCCTTAATAACCATTTATTATTTATTATGGTGGTTAACAGGTTACATGCAGCCTTAATAATCCTTGTATAGTCGATAGGCTTCAAGCCTAGTTAACCAACTAATCAAGGATAATAATACACCGAGATGTGTGTCTCTTGAGTGTATATACACTGTATGTGTATACATGTGTATATACTGAGAGTTTACTTTGATCTTATGTTAGAGATTAAAGTATTCTAGACAGGTGGTGAACAAGTTGCATTCTCTTCTAATGACCCTCGTATAGTCAGGAGGTTTTAAACTAACCAAAAAGGAGTAAAAATACACTGAGAGGTTTATGTCTCTGTGTATAAACACTGAGAGTTTACTATAATCCCTCTTTAAGAGATTAAACTATTCTTGACTAGAAGTATACATGGTAATCAGAACAACCGTTCAAAATGTGAGAGAAACATGAAATATGACACAGATATTACCCAAGATATAAATTTTCAGGAGAAGGTATTGGCCAGCAGCAGCAGCAGTAGCAGCTGCACCAGCAGCAGCAGTAGTAGCCGCACCAGCAGCAGCAGCACCACCAGCAGCAGCAGCAGCAGCAGTAGCAGCTGCACCAGCAGCAGCAGTAGTAGCAGCAGCAGCAGCAGCACCACCACCACCACCACCACCAGCAGCAGCAGTAGCAGCTGCACCAGCAGCAGCAGTAGTAGCCGCACCACCAGCAGCAGCACCACCACCACCACCAGCAGCAGCAGCAGTAGCAGCTGCACCAGCAGCAGCAGTAGTAGCCGCACCAGCAGCAGCAGCACCACCACCACCATCAGCAGCAGCAGTAGTAGCCGCACCACCAGCAGCAGCAGCACCACCACCACCACCACCACCACCAGCAGCAGCACCACCACCAGCAGCAGCAGTAGCAGCAGCTGCACCAGCAGCAGCAGTAGTAGCCGCACCAGCAGCAGCAGCAGCAGCAGCAGCAGCAGCAGTAGCAGCTGCACCAGCAGCAGCAGTAGTAGCCGCACCAGCAGCAGCAGTAGCAGCTGCACCAGCAGCAGCAGTAGTAGCCGCACCAGCAGCAGCAGCACCACCACCACCACCAGCAGCAGTAGTAGTAGCCGCACCAGCAGCACCACCACCATCAGCAGCAGCAACAGCAGCAGCAGCAGTAGCAGTTGCACCAGCAGCAGCAGTAGTAGCCGCACCAGCAGCACCACCACTACCACCAGCAGCAGCAGCAGTAGCAGCTGCACCAGCAGCAGCAGTAGTAGCTGGAGTAACAGCAGCAGTAACGCTGCAGCAACGTCAGCGGCATCAGGAGCAGTAGTAGCTGCAGTCGTAGTAGTAGTAGTATCAGCAGCAGCAACACTAGTAACATCAGTAGTAGCAGTAGCAGCACCAGCAGCAACGGCAGCTACATTAAGAGGCAGCAACATTGGCAGTAGTAGAAACAACAACATCAATAGTGTCCTAGGCAGCAACAGCAGCGGTAGCAGCCATAGAAGCAGCAACGGCAGTAGCATTATTATTGTAAAGTAAAAGGACACAAGTGCAACTAATGTGACATTTATTGTGGCAACGTTTCGCTCTCCAGGAGCTTTATCAAGCCATTACAAACAATACATGGACACACAGGGTATATAAAGGCTCTGAGTGAGGTGCAATACTAGTGAGGTACCATTTCGATGTTCACTAGTGGTAGTAGTAGTAGTAGTAGTAGTAGTAGTAACAAAAATAATACAATATGGAAGAGCAAATAATTCGTACATGAGTAAAAGGATATAAAAGCTATTACTTGGGTAACATAAAAATAGGTTGGACAAATATAGACTGGAAAGAGGCAGGTTTTTTTTCGGTGTTCACTCTCTGTAATGTGCTTTGTGTAGTATAACAGGAGAGACTATGTGATGGCAGGGTTTACTGTTTTCAGGAGGATTCTTGCTAAGACTTCGGAGATGGTGAAGCTGCCGTTGTTTTGTTTAATTGTATTCGAAACAGAGATCAGTGCTGATTCAAGGCACTTGCGTGTGCGGAAATTAGTTTCTTTGATGACTAATTGGGCGTCTCTGAATTTCATGAGATGATTGGTGGAATTTCGGTGTTGTACACAGGCGTTGTTTAAGTTGTCGTTCCTACATGCGTAAATGTGTTCATTGAGGCGGGTGTCGAGGTTTCTTGCTGTTTCACCTACGTAGATCTTGTCACAGCCTCCACAGGGTATAGTGTAAACTCCTGCATTGACTGGTTCGTGGTGCTTGGGTTTTGTCCTGGTTAGATCCTTTATTGAAGTGGTAGAAGCGATGGCGACTCTGGTGTTAGCTTGTGAAAGTACTTTTGAGACGTTTAGTGCAACCTGGCTGTTGGGAAGAATTATAACTTTGTTGGGAGCGGTGTTGATGCGTGGAGAATTGATGATCTGAAGAGCTCTTTTCTTGCAGTCTTTGATGAAAAAAGAAGGAAATTGTAACTCAGTGAATGTTTGGTAGGTGAAACAGCAAGAAACCTCGACACCCGCCTCAATGAACACATTTACGCATGTAGGAACGACAACTTAAACAACGCCTGTGTACAACACCGAAATTCCACCAATCATCTCATGAAATTCAGAGACGCCCAATTAGTGATCAAAGAAACTAATTTCCGCACACGCAAGTGCCTTGAATCAGCACTGATCGCTGTTTCGAATACAATTAAACAAAACAACGGCAGCTTCACCATCTCCGAAGTCTTAGCAAGAATCCTCCTGAAAACAGTAAACCCTGCCATCACATAGTCTCTCCTGTTATACTACACAAAGCACATTACAGAGAGTGAACACCGAAAAAACCTGCCTCTTTCCAGTCTATATTTGTCCAACCTATTTTTGTTACCCAAGTAATAGCTTTTATATCCTTTTACTCATGTACGAATTATTTGCTCTTCCATATTGTATTATTTTTGTTACTACTACTACTACTACTACTACTACTACTACCACTAGTGAACATCGAAATGGTACCTCACTAGTATTGCACCTCACTCAGAGCCTTTATATACCCTCTGTGTCCATGTATTGTTTGTAATGGCTTGATAAAGCTCCTGGAGAGCGAAACGTTGCCACAATAAATGTCACATTAGTTGCACTTGTGTCCTTTTACTTTACATATTGTCGGTAATTCTACCAACTTTATTACAGCATTATTATTAGCAGCAACAATAGTAGTAACTACGGTAGCAATATCGGTTGTAACGAACTTTAGTAGTAGTAGCTTTAACAGCTGTAGCAGTAGCAACTGCAGCAAAAAGTAACAGCTGTAGCAGCAGCAACAGCATTTGTTGAAGTAGTCAATAACTGTGCATTAGAATGCCATCAACGAGTCGAGGGTAATGCCGCCACCATCAAATAGCTACTGTAAAAAATTCATTGATGTTTAAACATCACATCACAACATACAGCATCAACATCACAGATGTTAATGTTGTACATTAACATCTCCATTCAAAGCAGGTGAAATTGCAGATATAAAGAATGTACAGAGAATCTTTACTGCACATATAAGTTCCGTTCAACACTTAATTACTGGGAAAGTTTGGAAGCACTTGACTTGTACTCGCTGGAACGCAGGTGAGAGAGATACATCATAATCTACACTTGGAAAATCCTAGAAGGAATGGTCCCTAATCTGCATACAGAAATCAC